CGAAATAAGCGATGTCAAGAATATTTTATTTTATCAAATAACCAATGAAACCGTAAAAATAAACAAAAATTCCCACGACTACTGAAAAAGCAAATATTGTGAATATTTTGGGACGGAGGGAGTACTATCGAGTAATATTAGTCTCACCAAATTTATAAATTTCCTTTTATTGTATTAAATTTTCTAAATAGTCCTCTTTAATTAGATGTTTTTTCAAATTAGTGCTCTATAATTTTTAATTATATGTGTGATTCTCAATAATTGAAATTTATTCCCTAAATAGTCCTTAGTAAATAATGATAGTCAAATAAAGATTAATTGAGGGGTATTTTAGTATTTTTATCTACTAAATTTAGAATAATTTCTTAAAATGATCAATTATAATGAAGTACTTTCCAAAAATAGTTTTTCTTAATTAAATATGTGTATTTGATTGTAATTTAAAAAGATTTTTTTATAAGTTTTTAATAATTCATGAGTTATGTATACTCAATGTATTGTTTTAATTTTACATTGATTTGTATAGAAATGACATTTTTTAGAATAGACATTAATTTAGATGATAGAAATACCAAAACATCCTTTGATTAATCATCATTTAAGTAATATTATTTATGAAAGACTATCTAATGAATAAATCTGAATTATAAATGACCACGTAGGTTATTAGAAATTGTTGATGATTGAATTTAGAAAATACCTTATTATAAAGGTTCATTTTGGGAATTTGCTCTTTGTAATATTTCACTAGGAATAGGATACATTCAAATAATAAAAAAATATTTTAATTTAAAATCGTCAAAAGGTAAGTTCGTAAAGTTTTTTTAAACTATTTATTTGTGACTCTAATACTTTCTTTACTTATCTTATTGTGAATGCGCTCAAAAAAACAAAAATTATCTCATTATGGATAATAAATTTTGATTGATTTCACTATATGGGAATTTGCCTAAATAATATTAAACATTGTGACTTCTCCAATGTAGGACCATATATTTTTATTTTCTAATTTAGTATCACTGGTTATTGTTCGCTGGTCATTTTTCAAATAAATTTCCACCGCCACTGGACATTATTTAAACTCAATGTCCACCATCAGCGAACACTGTTCTCGCCACTAGACATTATTCAAGTATTGTTTATAGAATAAAGAAGTTTAAATGCTACATTAGGAAATGACATATATTTTAGTACTATTTAGTGCAAATTTCACTATATAATTTGCTCCTTTTTTTATTTGAAGTCAATATAATTTGCTCCTTAAAATCAAATGCTCATATATAATTTGCTCTCATGAAGTTTTTTAAAATATTGAAAAATTACTCGCTTTTTCTTTTTGAACATCTCGAAAAATATTTCTCAGTATTTTATTTCTTAAACTACATAAAAATTATAATAATACATTTTTTCTTATAGTTCACGAGATGTTTCTTCTATCCTAATAAAATTATAATGATACATTTTTTATTGCTCTTCTTAAATTACATAGAAATTGAAAAAAATAAACTTTTTTGGGAGCTAGGAAGTATACATATCACTCCTTATTTTCAAGCTCACGTTTTTTTCAATTCAATCACTCTTTACTTTTTTTTACTGTAGAACTTTTCTTAAAATTTGAGAAATCAAATTATAAATCTCTTTGAAAAGAAAAGAGTAAAGTGTAATATGTGTAGTTTAGTGTGAGCAAATTAAAGAAAATGGAGTGAATGGGAAAGGAAAATGACAAGTGAGACGACAATGGGGCCCCTTTGCTTCCCACTCTTGAGTATGATTCTATTGCAAAGCACCAAATCTATGGTCCTTTAAATTGAGATAAGATTAAAGCTATGGGAAATTAGCCGTCAAAACAAAACTATGGGAAGATTTTTTTTTTTTGTGCAACGGAGTATACTCTTAATTATATGGACTTTTAAAAATGTTGCATTTGTGTTTATTAGGCCATCTCCAATGAGATGCTCAAAGGAGATGCTCAAAGGAGAGAGAAGAGGATGTTTATAGATGCTACCATTAGAGATAGATTCTTAGAGTAGATGTTCAAAGAAAAAAAAAGGTGAGAGATGCTTAAGAGAGCACCGGGTGCTAGCATTCAAAATTATGTGTGCATTCTTTCTTTTTCTTTTTTTTTGTAAAATAAGTCTTTTTTTAATAAAACACTATTTTTTCAATATTTTTTTCTTTTTATTTCTTTATACCATTATTGTGTCCCTTTTTTTGGAAAAGAATCTTTACAATTTTTTTTAAACAAACTATTTTTGTAAGTTCTTTTTCTTTTAATTTTTTTTACTTGTAGTGATATCATGAAAAATCTGTTTGAAGTTGCGTTTCATTTGATTGGGTTTGATCTGCACAAAAATTTGAATAAATAAATAAATACTCTATAAAAATATGACACCCTATTTTGTTTTTAGTAATACTAACATGTCTTTAATTTTTTAATCAAAATATATAGCAAAAAAAGTCATTAATAATATTTTTAATTATTTATATTATTTTTTCCAAAAAAATCAATTTAATTAATAATTTATTACTCCATATTTAACACTCCTATATATAATATAAAAATTTAAAATTAAAAACAATAATAAACATTGTATCTGTATGTGAGTAGGATTCGTCTAAGGCATCTCAATGAGGTGTCACCATTAAAGCATTTAGATGTTCAAAGAGATGCCGCAATAATATTTTTAAAGTAGAGCCCACAGTTGAGCATCTAATGAGAAGTGTTACCACTGTGGATGCTCTTATGCGTCAAATTTGAGACTACGTTAATTACACATTCGTCCAGTGCAAGTGTCGATTAATCTAAACGCAAATATCAATGTGAGTTTGGCAATATGTTTTCTGAAACATAATTTTCTATATTGTAAACCCCTTGAAAGCCAATATAAATTTTCTCGCTTTAGCGGTCAGTAACCGAATTTAAAATACGGATGCCATTCGATCAAGCTCTTCATCAATTGATCAACTTTTTCATCAATTCCTGATTCCATGACATTTTAATTAAGCTACAACAAGTATATGATGAACATATAATTAACGCGCTCCCAAATCTGGCACAAAAGACCATTAATCTAACATTTTTAAAATTTTAGAAATTATTTGTATAAATTTTAATATTTAGGAAGAATCCGTGCAATTTTTAAAAAGTTTCCGTGTAAATGACACAAAAACTCATTTTTTTTAGTACTACGAAATTCTCGGTATAAGTTTTATTATGATATGGCACATGTTCATACATATTTTTTTATCTACTGAAATGCAATGAATCAATATTCTTAATTATTGGGTTTAAACTCAAATGAATTTTCCATCTAAGAGTCTTGGGAGTGGGTAATGTATAGTTGCTTTTACCCAGTTTTTAAAAAGTAAAATTATGTAATTAAATATTTATAAATGAAATAGAATTGGAGTAAACCAAATTAAATTTCATTTTTTAATGAAATGAGAATGTTAATTATGAATAAAAACGAAAAAAAAGACGCAAAAAGGAGTACTCCTCCCTCTCTTTTAAATAAATGGTTATTAGAACTATTAAAAGTACCATAAAAATCAAATGAATCTAGACATGATATTTGTCAATAAAAATTTTAATCTAACATATTTAAAAAGTTTTATGGAGTAAGAGAGTAGTTATTTAAGGAATGGTGGGAGTGTATTCATTCTTTCCATATTTTTAGTTTTTTATTCGAAATTGGTGTAAAAATTTCAAAAATGTAAAATTTATATTGATTATTAAATACTACATCTGTCTTAAAATCGATTACATAGTTACTATTCTGGCTACACAACTTTTATTTGTTTCTGTATTTTTATTGATCATTTGATAAAATAAAATATTCTCGTCGCCAATTATTTTGTAAATTTTTTATGTAGTTTCTATGTATATAAGTTATATTTCTTATATCAATTTACAAATAAATTTTAAAAAGCACAATATTTTTAATTTGTTTATTCAAATTTGAGACTGAGTGAGTAGAAGATAAAAATATCATTTGAGGATTTGTTTTATCAGATACGTGAAAACAAGAGATAAATAAAAATAAATTTATATCTATAAAACTTAACTCGATAAATAATAGAATGGGCATATTCTGCGACATGAGGGGTACACTTTTGATGTTTGTCTTCCGTTCAAATAGGTCTGAACTAGAGATTCAACTTCTTCCGGCATACCGGCGTTCAATAACAACGTTATACCTTTTGAAAAAATTTTCCACTCCTTGCATATAAAGAAATGAATAGAGTATATATACTTTGAGTCACATCCAATATGATTGAAAATCATGAACTTTGAATCATAATTTATTTCAAAATGTAGGAATGTCCTAAGTTGCCACCACTTAATTGTAACTCTTTGTGGACTAGCTACATTCTCTTTAGTGAAAGCCATACTAGCGTATGTTTTTGTAATGTTGTTTCGCACTAAATATTTATATAGATTTATCAAAAAATATTTACAAGTTTTGTAGTTTGATTTTTTAAGAAATGATAATAATATACGGAGTAGTACAAAACAAGTCGAAGTGTTGCACAAAAAAAATAATTACAACTTACACAAAAAATGTAGTAAGTTATGAAATAAATAAATTATCTCTACTGTGTAAAATAATTTATTTTTAATTATTATTACTACATTATCGATTATTGAAAAAATAATAAGTTTCACTCTAAAAAACACTTAAATTTGATATTATTTTTCCATTTTTTGAAATACATTTAAATTTTAAGTTAAAAATTCAAAAAACGAAAAAAAGAAAATTTACCTAAGATAATAATCTTACCTTTCATTTATTTACAAAAATAGACATTTTTCACAAATTTCGTTAAATGACCGTTAGTTTTTTAACGGTGACCCAAAACTCAAAGACATGTGAAAAAATGGAATTATTTTTGGTGACTCTGAAAAATGAGATTATTTTTAAAAGATTATGAATACGTGGGATTATTTCAAATAATTTTTCCGATTATAAAAACTTCATATTTGTAATTGTTGGTGATGGTTCAATTTCAGCCGTTCGATCTCAATCGGACGAACGGATAGGATAACACCAGAAGGAACATACGGGGCCTCATTTGCCTACGTGTATAAATAGAAATTCCAGTCATTGAAGACTTCTCGCGAATTTATATGGCTCTTCCACGTAGATTTCTCTCCGGCAACAAACCCGCACCGACTCCGCCGCCGCCGACGTGGAAGATTGAGACGGCAGATCCGCCGTCGGCACTAGCTACCGAGTCCGATTTCGTAGTCATCCTAGCTGCGCTACTGTGCGCAGTTATTTGTGCGGTGGGGCTCATCGTCGTAGCCCGGTGCGCGTGGCTCCGGCGGGGCCGGGATCGCGGCGGCGCAACCGCCCAGGCGCCGCCGAAGAAGGGCCTGAAGAAGAAAGTGCTCCGGTCGCTTCCGAAGTTCACCTACGGCCCCGAATTCGCGGCCCAGAATTTCTCCGGCAAGGAATTCGCGGCGGAGTGCGCCATATGCCTGTCGGAGTACGAGGACGGCGACGAGATCCGGGTGCTCCCGCTGTGCCGGCACGGCTTCCACGCCGAATGCATCGACACCTGGCTCGGATCCCACTCCTCCTGCCCCTCGTGCCGCCAGATCCTCGCCGTCTCCCGGTGCCGGAAGTGCGGCTGTAAGGAGCTCCCGTCAATTTCGCCCACCGGAGCCGGTGCTGAAACCCTAACCGGCGGTAATATTCTGCTCTGAAGTAGAAATCGGAGCTCGATTGCAGCGGTAGAAATGGAGTGGGGCCCAATGCAGGTGTTGTCGGGCGTGTCCGCCGGGCGTTCCGGGTCGGGTTGAAGTAAACCCAAAAGGGAAAGAAATACTGTACAAATTATTGACAAATTTTGCTTGTTTTACATTGAAAATATGGAGAACTCCCTATTCCCCTATTTGTTAACAGTTAATTGAAGCCGGATGATGTGGGAGTGATGTAAAAAAGCAGTCTATTAAGTATTTTAATGGTTGCAATTCATCATATTTGACAAAAGTTATTTTTATGTGGAAAAAAGATTAAAATAAGAGTAAAGTATTGGATATATATCAAAATAGGATTTTCGTTTCTTTATTCCCGAAATAAAAATACAATTACAATACTAATCACGACCATTTATACTCCCTCCGTCCCACTGTCTTTGTCCACTTACCTTTTGGCACACCATCCAATGCACTTCTTTAATCCATTTTATCTTGTAATTTGTATATTAAAAAATTATAAAAATTATATATTAATAATCTATATGTTAAGACGAATCAATCAAGATCACACATGACTATTTTTAGGCTTACACATTGAGCAAATTTGATGAGTCAAAGTGCTTAGATGAACAGTTCCAAAAGTCAAATGTGGACAAAGACAGTGGGACGGAGGTAGTATTACATAAAATGTACAGGTACAATGTCATATTATCACAGTGCAAACTCTTATTTAACAAATAAAAATATACTCCGTAAAACTCTTATTTAGTACTCTATATTTTCTTTATGTTTTGGTCTTATTTAAGGTGATTTTTTAAAAAATAATTTACGGTAAAATTTGTTTAAATCTAAAAAAAATTATATAAGTAGAACTAAATCAAAAGAGAGGTGAATTTTATTTTTACATACCAATTTAAAAATTAAAATGTACCAATTTAATAACACTTCAAAAATAAAATCTACTGAAGTTATTTTTACATACCACTTTAAAATTTATATTTAAAATCTGACATTATATTTAAATTTATAGCATACCATTTCAAATATGTGCGAAAATAAATTCTTTTATCTGAAATTAATTTTTTTAATATTTATTTTGGTGATCATCTAATTATTGCTTTTCTTTAGCATTTTATATTTTCTAATATTTTTCAACTTTTTATAGTTTTTTCGAAATCTTTTAATTTCTTCTTACATTATTTTAGAATTCTAAGTGACAAAAGCAGGTCTTTAATAAGACAAACTATTTATTAGGAACTATTTATTAGGAGAGTGTGCTTTGTGTTGTGACCCTATGCTCAAAGATCAAGCAATTAGGTTGATATCTTCTAAATTAAACATGCACATTTAGGAAATTGTCAGATGAGTAGATATCAAATCCAAACAACTACAAAGATACTCGTCCATAAAACTTTTCATCTTTGAAAAAATGTACATTTATAGAATGAGTAATATTGATGATATTTTCTAATTTTGCCTTTATAATAGAATAGGATAAGATGCGTAAATTCGATGAGTCATAATTTAAAAATAAAGGCAAAATTATTCATTTTAAATATGCATTTTTTTGAAACATGAATAGTTTCATGAGACGGTGAGAGTAATATAATAAGACCTCATATTTCATACTCCCAAAGAGGCGTCATTAATTATCAGATAATATGTGGTTTTCTCAATCATATTCCTCACTTCCCTCCATTTTTTAGTAAGAACTTCTCAAGTCTTAGATTATTCAAAATATACTCGGAGAATCCTTAAACTTAATGGCGATGTATTACAAAGAGACATTCTGTCTATTTTTCCTACATAATTGAAAGTTTTATTACTTTGACAAATACTAAATAAATGAAGTTCAAAATTTCTTTAATTTGACTAGAAAAAAGTTGACATAGTAGTTATTAAGTCAACACACGCTACTCTCACTTTCAATTTTTAAAAGCTTGCTCATTGGCCAGCAACTTTATCTCCTTTTTTTGGTACAACAACTTCATCACTTTTGTTACAACTAAATTTTTTGGCTATTTTATATAGAGCATAGGTTACACGGAATATACTCCCTCCGTCCCTAAATATTTGCCACATTTGTATTCCCGAGGTAAAATATCAAGTTTTTTCAATTCATTTTATTTATGTATTGGTATAGAAATAAAAAATAAAATTTACATATCAAAAAACTACATGAAAATTTCTTCGAAATAAGAGGTGTCACGAATATTTTATTTTATCAAATAACCAATGAAAACGTAGAAATAAACAAAAGTTCCCGTAACTGCTCAAAAAGCAAACATTGCAAATAATTTGGGACGGGGGAGTAGTTTTTTTTCCAATTAAAATTTACAATCCTAAGATTAGTACCCAAAAAAAAGAAGCAAGCTAACTCCATAAAATCATAGCCCAAATTTTCACCACTCAAGGCCCAAAATAAGGCCCATAGTTTGGATATTGGATAAAAAAAATTTCTGTTAAGACATTGGGCCGGATTTTGCCATCTTTTGCGAAGTCAGATGGCATACATGGTGTACAATATTATTTATAGGGTATATTCATTTTAATTTTATATTTCAGTTATTTATGGTTTATATTCTAGACTTTATTTAAAATTAATATCGCACCTAGATGCAAAATTTTGTTAGTAATATCGAAAATCTAATCTCCAATTTATTTTACGGGAGTTGCTAAAAACATTGTGGTTTAGCGGCATAACCATGACGTGAAAGAGAATAGAGACGGGAATAGCTTATATAGCAAAGAATAGTGGTTAGAGAGAGTAGGGGGAAAAGGGGGTGTAGTTGGGAGGGAATTAAAGTACTCTTGGAGAGATTTTTTTATTGTGTGTAAAATTATGATAATAAAATGAATATTTTTAAATAAAAATAAAAAGAAGAGGAATGCTTAGAGTGAGTCAAATTAAATAAAATAAATTAAGAAAATAATTCGGCGTAAAAATTGATGTTGTGAAAGTGAATATGAGAAATATGAGTAGTGGGGCACTTATCCATCAATGTAGATTGGAGCATAGTTTTAAAAACCGGACCGGACCGGCCCTTTGGACCGTAACATGCATCGAACCGGTGCGAACCGGTGTAAACCGGCCGGTCGACCAGTTTTTTTTTTTTGCGATTTTTTCCAAAATATTCAACTATGGGGGTTTGAACCTAAGACCTCTTTGACATTTGGATGAGTTTCTAACCATCCAAGCAAAGATGCTTTTTGTTTCAAGTTTACTTATTCTTTTATAATATTTCATAATTAAAAAAAAGTTTGTATAAAAATTTCTTTTTAATTTTAAAAATATAATATTATATAGCTATGAATCAAAGACAAAATCATTGATACTATTGATATTATTACAAAATGAATATCATGCAAAAATTTCATCTAAGGTTTTTTTAATATTAAACAACTTATTTGAAAAAATAAAATCAAGTCTTCATTTATAAAATTTTAAATATTCTTTTTCTAATATGTAAATTTTATTTTTTAACTTAGTAAAATAAGTCAAATATTTTAATCAAACATTTTAGTCAAATGTTATAAATTACTTTCTTTAGATATTTATAAATGAGAAAGTGTGTGTCTATGTGTGTGTGTGTGTATGTATATTTATTTATTTATATAATTTTTAAAAATGTTTAAACCACCGGTTCGACCAGTTGAACCACTTGTTCGACCAGTGAACCAGTACCTTGACCGGTTCGATCACCAGTCCGGTTCTGAAAACTATGGATTGGAGTATTGCAATATATATCGTACAAGTAGTTGTACAAAATTTCTCGTACATCCGCTATGAGTATTCATTAACCAGCAATTGAATACTCATTTTCAATCATTAAAGAAAAAATAGATTTAATTACATTATGTGACATGTCTGATATTTAAAACAAAATTCTGGTAACATGCAAAGTACAATCACAAATATATTATTTTATGATAAATATTGCATAAATAAAGTGATATGCAGCGTAGCCACAATAACTTTCAAATATTTAACATTTTGATATTTATGCTAATTTTATATTCTATTTTTTTGCAAAAGTAGTTTTTTTGTGTACAGAAAATGATAATAATTCTATTTTAAGGGGAATCATTGAGATAATATGATGACAACAACAACAACAACAATAATAATAATCTATAACAACAAGAATTAAAATGAGAATAATATAAAAATACATAAAAAAATTTCTTTTAAAGTTTTTTAAGATTTTCTAATTTTTCTAGTTTTTTTCAGTTTCATTTAGTTTTTTCTATTTTCTTCTAATTATTTCCAGTTTATTCCAGTTTCTTCCTGTACGCATCGGCACGGGACTATATGAGACGACATCTCCAAAGCCTAGATCGAGATTATACTGTGATTTACCTTCTCACAATCTTGTTTGGTTGGGGTGTAGGAACGCACAGGATAGGCGTTCTTTCACCTATAGGTGAGAATGAAAAAATTAAAGATGTCTCTTGAAAATAATGAAAGAACTCATAATTTATTAAGGCCACAATTTTTCCGTTTCTAAACAAGCTTATATATGGGCCTGTTTGGGAATAACGTTAGAGATTAGCATTAGCGTTTTGGATAAAATTTTAACGGTGCAGATTACTTTGAAAATGCTAACGCTAAACGCTGGCCGTAAATAGCTTTTTCAAAACGCTAACGCTAATCTCTAACGCTATTCCCAAACAGGCTCTATGTACCGCGGCCCTAATTAAACTTATAGCTGCCGTTAGCAGTTAGCACTAAACATGACATTTATGCCAAAGACACTTATTCAATGCACATTTTTTTCTCATTTTTCTTGGGCAATTTTTCTAAACTCATTAAAAGTGTCGATTATAACTACGCTATCCGTCCAATTTTCCAAAATAAAGTTTATTTGAACTTATATTGTTTTCAACTTAGGAGTTCCAAATTTTTCAATTAATGAATGAAATAACTTGTTCAAATTTCAAAATATTTCTTTATATTCAAGTTTTATTTTTTTCAATATTTTTTTTATTTTATTTAAGGCCTGTTTAGGAATAGCGTTAGAGTTTGAAAAAAGCTATCTACGGATAGCGTTTTAACGTTAGCATTTTCAAAATAATTTATACCGTTATATTTTTATCCAAAACGTTAATGTTAATCTCTAACGCTATTCCCAAACAAGCGATCATGTTTGGAAATATCGTTAGAGATTAGCGTTAGCGTTTTGAAAAGACTATCTACGGGCAGCATTTTGCGTTAGCGTTTTTTAAAGTAATCCGCACCGTTAACATTTTATAAATA